AGTATTTTGCGCCTGAAGTCAACCTAATGAACAAAATAAACAACCTCCAGCATGTGCTAAATTCCCCAATCTACAATCTACTGTACATGTTTTGGTGAACTTCGAACTATTTTTTTATTAGAGGATTTTAAATACTTGTTTGGTTTGCTTGTTGTTTTCTTTGAAGTAGCTCCGAAAGCATATCGCTTTAGAGACTTTTTAAGAACTCCATTTTAAACATTTAGACAAAGTTTATCATTAATATTTTTTAATGTAAAAAGCGGTCAAGAAGAACGCTGACAGCAAAGCGAATTGCGTATGTAGCTTGTAAAATGTTGGTCACAGTGGTGGGCAATATGACACCCAAATAAAACCTTAACGTGAAAACCAAGAAATATCTAAAGGTCAAAATACATGTTTCGTCGAGGTTCGTGCCGCTACATGAAGAGGCTGCGAGGAATCCTTTAACATCTCCCATCGGCTTTTTGGTAAATAATCAGTGAGAAACAAAACTTTTCATTTTTGGTCGAAATACTATTAAGAGTATTGCGGCCGGATTCTGTCCCTCGGGGCAGAGAAATCATGTAATTTGAGGTTGAATACGTTCTTCGGAAAATAGAACTTCATTTCGTGAATTTTCGAAGCTGGAGACCCCGCTTCGTCTTCAGACATAGGGAAAAGTGAATGCAAAAACAACTAACAGTTAAAATTTTAAATTGTAGGAAAATCAATAATGCAGTGGTGTAGGCTGCTGCAGTGTGTCTCCCTCTGTTCGGATCGGTTCGCGTCTCGCCCATTTCTGTTTGAGATTTTTGTACGAACAGTGCAGCTCGACCTGCCTATTGATGCATGATGTGTCCGAGTGCATCGCTTCGAGGAATTCACGTCCTTTCTTGGAAGGACAGGTAGCGAAAATACGAGTTTTGTCCGTGCTAACTTATGCTCGGTGTCTAGGCAATGCATGTAATATTTCTAGGCTTTAAGTCACAGCTTGTAGAAAAAATTATACATAATAACGTCGTCATAATGGGGTTATAAAGGGTGACAATGAAGCTAATAACGTGTTTTGACCTGGTTCCATTTTGATACGAGGGTTACATTATCCCTAATCATTAAACGTAAAGACGGTGAGGGAAATGAAATCCGAATAAAAAGGGCCCCAGAATATATGTCTAGGTGAATGCACTTCCCATCAACGAAAGTCTGGTAACTTAAGAGTGGTTTTGGCAGCTCTAAAAAAGCAAGACGAGTGCAATTCGATGTAACAAACAGACCAGACATAAGAAGGAGGGGGGGGGGCATTAAATAACCAGGCCCCAGGACAGATGACAACTCTTGCAGACAAAAGGATAGTGGTTAAAGGCACACACACACACCTCCTCTTCCAAGACGGGATAGTCGGGATGTAACCGCTTGCCAACGAGGGGATAGTTGAGACCGGTCAGCTTGGCAGACTCGGCAATGCGCACAGCCTTTCCACCGTAGGTGGAGGCCAAGTGAACGGCCAC